TTCATAGCTTTAGATAAGGCCGGTGAAGAAGCTGAATGGCTCCGAAATTTCTTGGATGATATTTCATTTTGGCCCAAACCTTTAGCACCTATTTGTATGCATTGTGATAGTCAAGCGGCAGTAGGTAGGGCAGGGAGCGTTATGTATAACGAAAAATCTTGTCATATTCGACGGAGACACAATACCATTAGACAACTACTCTCTAGTGGTGTTATCACAATTGACCACGTAAAGTCAAGAGATAACGTGTCAGATCCACTTACAAAAGGCCTATCTAGAGAGGCAATTGAAAGATCATCAAAGGGAATGGGGTTAAAGGCCTAGGATAAGTTATCATGGCGGTAACTTTACCTAGCAGACTGGAGATCCCAAGAGCTAGGTTCAAAAAGATCAAACAAAGTTATAAATGACGGTTCAACATTGTCAACTAACTCAACCCATTCTTGTGATAAAGACAATGTTCAAAAACGAGGTAAATCATTAAGGTTTTTTGATGAGTCAATAAAACTTAAAGCTTTTTAATGATTTGCTAAGTCTGGCAGGATATGACTAGATAGCGTGTCTTTAGGATTACACGTTTAGGAATCACCTATGTGAGTGTGAAGTGTAAGCCGCTTCAAGGAGAATGAAAGTAAAGGCCCATTCTCTAAGCACTCATGAAACCAGGCGGTATTCATGGTTGAAACGAACACAATCGTGAGAACCATGGATGGTTAAGGATTGATTGTGTGACTTATGTTGTGTAGGTATACAACAAAGCTCGATTTCAAAGATATCAAATCCACCGATTGACCGAGTATATCCGATATAAGTTCACTACGGAAAGTTCAAAGGGAAACTTACTTATCCAGATGTAATTAATTCTTGCATGTGAAACACACACACCCCGTGCATTCCTTTAAGTTTATAACCATTCCCCATTCATGTGGGGGATTGTTGGATTTTGTTGTTTAATAACAAAAGAAGTGTGAATGAAAAATGGTGGGAAAAGAAATGGAGGGAAGTGAAATTTGAATGAGTTTATTTCACTCATGCACTTTGTCCCTCATTGGCAGAAGGAAAGAAAATCTTTGTGTATATATAGAGAAGCTCATCTTTTAGCTCTTAAAGAGCTAAGAAGAAGGCAAGTCTCGCGCCGTCGTAGTCGTCGTCGCTCGACTCGGCTTCGATTTCGGTTTCGGCTTCGGATTTGGTCAAAGATCGATTGATTGATTAATTTTTTTGTACAAAATTCTTTTCAAATATTTAATTAATTAGTTAAATTAATTAACGAAAATTCAATCCGAAATAACCCATGTCCTGCTACCCGGTCCGGTTTGGCCCGTTTTTCTTTCATGGATTATTTTAAATCCGTTTTACATTTCCCACAATATTTGCAATAGCTATGGCTGTTCTGAAACAGAGTCACACCTGTTCCAACAGCTATGGCTATTCTGAAAGGTTGCAAACCTTTTCAGAAACAGTACCAAATTGGCTATAAATATTCTTTCAAATCCTAGAATATTTACTTACGAAATATTCTGATAATCTTCTTCTTCTTCTGCACAAAAATTCCAGTGTGTTTTGCAGTCTTCGAGTGGTTCGCTGTTCATCGGCGTTTTTGGTACCAACACTCCGGTGAGTTAAATCGTTCTATCCTGGGAGGATATATTCCAGAACCTCGGGTACAATTGATAACAGAAATCCTTCTGCGACTGTTGGTGCAACGACGATATCCTCGTCAAGCCGCACTGCTATTCCTCCGGTCGAGAAACCGGGGAGATTTTCTGGAACCAACTTCAAAGGATGGCAGCAAAGGGTGTTCTTCTGGCTTACCACACTTGGTATGCAGAAATTCACTAGTGAAGAGCCTCCAGTGCCTGCTGCGGACATGCCGGACAATGAAAAGTTCAGTGGGCTCGATTTGTTCCTATAACGTTTCAAAATTTATTTTGAAGTTCAAATACTATTTTTCAGAATTTATTTCTACTAATTTTCTGTTTCTGTTTTCAGAAAGATTACTGTTTTATTTATTTACAGCAATACAGATTAATAACAATAAGTTGCTACATCAATAATCTCAATCTTCCATATATAATAAGTTAATAACTATTCTTCTCCCCACTATTTTAGGAGATATACTACGTATGCCTATTCCTTAACCTTGGCAAGATTCTCTTTCATATCTTTCCCTATTCCATAAAAATTCTCTCATAAATAACATATCAAATATTCATAATTTTATCACACAGTATTATCTTCCGTATATGTAATATGTCTGGATCTTCACCAAATTCTTCTTCATTAAACAATTTTACAAAAATAAATAGTATACAACAAGTAAATGTTCTTTAACTAATATTTATCAAGTCAATATTGAGTTCTGACCATATTGATTTGTTGCCACACAATTACTACATATTTTCTTGGCAATCATGAAAGTTTCTCCAAAGAAACCTCACTTTTTTAAACCCATCTTGCCAGGTTTCAAGCACGGAATTGTAAGTAATAATTTCAATTATTTCATCTTTCCTTTGTTTAAGAAATGTTTTTATCCCATTAAAGAAACATGCTAAAGATCAAAACCGTAGTACATATGAATATTCTGTATAGAATCCTTACTTCTATCGAGACAAGGTAGCTACGCCTGAGTCCCAGACAAGTTGGGGTCGGCTATATGAATCCTTACTCTTTTCTTTAATCTCAACTCATATCATCATCATACCAAGTTAGGGACAAGCCTCCTCTAATTGTATGTGATTTCTTACTGCAGAAAATTCCTACAAGTTTCTTGAAGTATCTGAAGGGAAACAACCATATTGAACATGCAATACTAAGAAGGGCTGGTAAGAAGTGGCTGGTGAAGGTGAAGGGGCGACGCCTTGAAGATGGTTGGGAAAAGTTTGCAGAGGAGCATGATTTGCAATATGGGGATATCTTGGTGTTCAGATACGAAGGAGATATGGCGTTTGAAGTTTCCATATTTCATTCAAATCAATGTGAAGACGAACAAAAAGCCCATAATGTTGAAGAGACTTCCAAGAAGTTTGAATTCAAAGGTGAACTTCTTTAATTTTGGGAAAATTTGTTATCAATTTAGTACTCTTTCAACTTTGGAAGTTATTTATTCAAAATGTAGTCCATTATTGTTAGTTTAAGTTACTCATCCGTCCCAATTTATGTGATAGCATCCCGTTTTCCGATCCACAAAAGAATGACACATTTTTATATTTGATAATAATTTAACTTTAGCGAAATATTTAACCACACAAATATGCTCATCAGTTTCAAAAGTCTTTCTTCTTTGTTGAACTTCGTGTTCGATCAATCAACATACATAAATTGTAACAAAAGTTACCGGGGCGGATCCAGTGAATTAGTTAAGGGTTTCCGTAAACCCAGTAATTTATGTCTAGATCCGGTATTTGTATTGAAAAATTCATTAAATGTATACAAATATTTAGCATGAAACCCAATCTAATCCGTTAGTTCAGTTATTATTGTATATTAACTTAAAATTTTTGTAGGAATCCATAAACTTAATATTCTAGAACTGCATGTGCAAAAGGGGTTTTAATAAGCTATTCATATTTACAATAGTTTCTTTTCATTAGTTAAATTTCTTGACACTATACTACTTCTTGACATGAGTTTGTACACAATTAACTATGTACACAGGCAAACCAAACAACAGCATCAAGTCATCAAACAAGGAATTTTCCCATTCAGAAGCTGCTATTCACAAGCCTTTTGGTCATTCTCATTTTGTATGCACTGTTAGACCCTATTGCCTCTCAAAAGATATCTTGGTAAGTCTAAAAAACTCTACCAAGACCTTTTACAACACCATATTTCTAGATATGAAGTCTTTTTGATTATATTTGCAAATGAGTTTTCAGAGTATCCCTAAGCAATTTGCATGGGCAAATGGTCTCATCAACAAGAAATGTGATTTGATTATTAGAGATGAAAGGCAAAGATCGTGGAATTTAATATTACGTTCTTATAGTACTAATGTGTATATTAGCGGTGGATGGAATAAAATCCGTGATACACATTGCTTAAAGGAGGGAGATCGTATAATGTTTGAAGTTGTTGCTAATGAAAAGAAACCAACATGGAAATTTCATGGTAAGTTTTCTCATTTTAATCAACGTGATCTTTTTTTTTTAATTCTTAAAACCATCTTTTATATATATATAGAAGGGGAGCCTTGACGTAACTAGTAAAATTACTGTTATGTGACCAGGAGGTCACAGGTTCGAGTCGTGAAAATAACCACTTGCAAAAATGTAGGGTTTACATACAATAGACCCTTGTGGTCCGACCCTTCCCCGGACCCCGTGCATAACGGGAGTTTAGTGCACCGGATTGCCCTTTTATCTTATATACACATACAGTATGATTCCGTTTGGCTTAAATTTTGGATAAATTAAAGAAAATTATAAATGGAAGAAAGCATTTTGAATTCTAGGAGATTATTGTTGATGTATAATCTCTTATTATTGTTTATAGTTCTTCTTACCAATAGTTTATTTTGGAAAGAATTTACATGCTTTACTTTGAGAATTATATAGCACTATATATTAAAATAAAAATAAAAAAGGTAGTGCGATGCACAAAACATACAGCATTCACGTTGGGTCCGGAGAAGGATGCACCCCTAGGAATGTGACGTAAACAACCTACTCTAGTGCAAGCATTATTGGTTGCTTCCACGGCTCAAACCAGTTATACAACTTTACCATTTGCTCCAAGGCTCCTCTTCATGTAACACTATATAGAATTGTCATAATATATAGTGAACATTTTGAGAACTTAGGCTTCGTAGCAGAGATTTATATTAACTTACATAAACTAATGCATTTTTTGCAGCCAAATCTGGAGAGGATGCTAGCATCATTCAAGAGGTTGACTGAACAATGGAGCAATTGACGAGGGAAAAGGAAAAGCAACACTTAAGCAATTGAATCTTGAAGTTTATGCCTTCGTTTCTTCTATAAACTAGATTACCTTGAATACCTAGAACAAGATGAATTTTATAATTTACAATGTTCCAATGACTATAGATCGAAACTATTTAATTTTTACAGTTTGATGGTTGATCGTTAACAATAGTACTTTTTCTTTCTGGATCAATATCAGCAGTTTGAAGGGGAGCCTGGGAGTAACTGTAAAGTTATCTCCGTGTGACCTATAAGTCACGTGTTCGAGTCGTGAACGCAACAACTAATGCTTCATTACGGTAGACTGTCTACATGGCCTGCATGAATGCAGAATGCTATTTTTTAATCAGCTTATATAGTTCATCTAACATGAAAATTAATCATAATTATAGGGTCAGTGGAAAATTTTCATCATATCCAAATTAACATAAGATCAAGAATTATTGGCAAACTACACATAAAAGATAGAGATCATCCTAAACTTCATCCTCGTTCTTCCTCAAAATATTTCAAATTTAATCATGTACCATAAAATATAATATTTTTTCGGCTTAACCTATTTTCTTGCGAAACTCATTAGCCTGACTAATCTGGATCCATGCCGAGTAGCTCAAGGTAACCGCTATACTTATAATCCATTAATTTATTTAGTCAATCAAAATATTGTCCCATGAAGTACACATCCTTTAGGATTTTTCCCTTTCATATACAAACTTACATGATCCCTAATTTATAAACCAAATTCATGTATTATATTACATATTTTTTCCCATTCTACACAGAGTAATGAAATAGAAAATCACCCCTTTTAAAAAGCTGCAACCATTGAGGCCAAAACAACAAACAAACCAAAGGAAACCTTCAATTTTCCAGCAGATGATCCAGCCGGTGGGGGCGACTGAACATCGGCCGGAGGAGAATCATCGGCCGGTGACGGTGAACTAGCCGGAGAATCGGCATCCTCAGAAGGAGAAGGAGCCTCTGTTTCTTCAACAGGGGACTCTGCTTCTTCTTCTTCAGGGGACTCTGCTTCATCATCAGAAGGTGGTGGTGAACTCTTAGGTGAAGATGGTGCAGTAGCCTTAGGTGGTGGAGCTGAAACTGGTGCAAGTGTTCCATCAAGTCCAGGTGTAACCATTGGCTGAGAAATTCCAAGAATTGAGATGTTATAAGGCTGATTCATTACAGATTTTTCGAGCCTCGAATCGCGTTGAGCGCCTTTAACAGCTGATCCAAATACAAAACTACCATCTTTAGCTGTCACATTCAAGAAACCTTGGTCATATGCTGCTTTACCAGATTGTTGGTACATATTTGTCATTTTTGCTGTTTTTTCCTTCATACTTCTGAGTTTCGGGATATCATAGTAATCTAATATAACATAGGTTGATAATTCTCTCTTGAGAACATCATCTGATTTTGAGGTAAGATCACCAATTGCACCATTTGGAACGGCCAAAATTGTAATTGTGGCCCTTTTGTTAATTTCAGCGGCTAAGCCAGATTTAGAAAGAAGTTCATTGAAGGTGCTGTAATCTGAATATTGGCTTAGAATTTTTGTGATATTAAAGGCCGAGGCCGAGGTGGCGGCCAATAGGAGGAAGGTACAGAGGATTGGAGCAATTGAACGACTCATTTTTGCTGGTTATATTTTTGAGTTTTTTACCAGCAAAAATGAGTTTTAGTATTTGCTTTTTTTTCTTCTTCTTATGTTTCTTCCTTTAGAGAAAAAATAAACCAACTCCGACTTGTTTGTTTGAAGAAATAGAGGATTATATATAGTTGGAGTTATGGAGATGAAGGGTTGTTGAGCTTGTGGATGGGAGTGAACGTTTCTCTCCCATGCAAATGCATGCACGCATAAATAGCACGAGACAATATCGGTCAAAATTTGGATAAGAATGTTTATGTCTCATTACCTTAAAGGTTGGAATGAAGTAAACTTGTCATGAGGATATATCATTAGCTTTTTTCTTGATCACAAGTTTAATGATTAAGATATTATTTCAAAGTTTAAATATTGAATGATTAAGACGTTTTAATTCTTTTGACCGTCTATAATTCATATTTAGTAATAAATATAAAATTCAAAATAATAACAATAATAATAATAATAATAATAAAACACAATATTTAGAAAATATTAGAAAAAAATCTTAATTTACATGATATAAAAATTATTTATTTGTAGTAGTACAAGTTACAAGTTAGCAGTGGAGGTAGTTGGCTATGGTGATAGTTACAGAAAATTGCTAGTGATAGTTGTGATTGGTGAAGGAAGTTGACAATGGTGGTTGTGCAGAAGAGGTGGTGGTGCTCGTGCAGTGGTAGCTGGTGATAAATGTTGTTGGTGGTGATGGCGATTCTCCGATGGAGGTCAATAGTTAGGGGGTTGTTATTGTCGATGGTGATGGTGATGGTGATTCTCCGTTGGAGGTCAATGGTTAGGTGGGATGTGGGTATGTGTCTAGTGGTGATTGCACCATGGAGACACTCGAAAATGGGTGAAATTGTGGTATCTTTCATTATGAATCAGCTATACAATGTATATAGTTACATAGATATAGGAAGATATTTACAATCCCAAAGAATATGCTAGTACAATCCTAGCGAATATGCTAATTGATTTACAATTAAGTTTTGACACCTATTAATTGATTACAAGTCTGCTCTATCAAGGAAAGTCAATCAATTTACATAACTCACTCTAACACTCCCTTCGCATGCTTGTCTGGAAACAGCTTTAGTTAGGACATTGGCCAATTGTTGTAAGGTCTTCACATATGAAACCTCAATTGTTTTATCCTCAAATTTCTCATATATGAAATTACGATCAATCTCCACATGTTTAGTACAATCATGTTGAATTGGATTTTCTCCAATTTTAATCGCTGACTGATTGTCGCAAAATAACTTCATAGGTTCGTCAAACGAAAAACGAAGCTCCTCCATAAGGCATTTCTACCACAAAAGTTCTTGAATACCTTTGACCATTGCCTTGTATTCAGCTTCTGCACTAGACAATGAGATAACCTTTTGTTTTTTACTTTTCCAAGTAACTAAGTTTCTTCCAATGAAAGTGAAATACCCAGTTGTTGAACGTCGTCTTTCTCCTCTTGTACCCCAGTCCGAATCACAATAACTCATAATTTTTGTGTGGTTATGCTTAAAGAACATGATGCCTCTTCCAGGTGCTGACTTCAAGTACTGCAAGATTTTAATAACTGCATTCATATGAACTTCACTCAGATTAGAGTGCGGAACCAAAATGTGGTTTATTTTTACTCAAAATACTCAAATAAGTGTAAAAGAAAAAGTTACCAAACTATATATAACGCCACTA